CACACTGCAGATTTGGAACGAAAACAGAAAGCCAGCTGAATGGAGATCGTCGACCGCCACCCCAGTTTTCAAAAAGGGAGCAAGAACGTCATGTGAAAACCATCGTGGATTTCGTCACATCTAAAGTGCTTTATGGCATTACTTTGCGCAAGTTGATGGATTATCGGGAGAGACAGATTCGCGAGAATCAAGCTGGGTTTCATCGTGGTCGAGGATGCATCGACCATATCTTTAGCTTGAGACATGCTTGAACAGCGCCACTCCTTCAGACGTCCCACGTTGGTCGTTATTCAAACTAAACCTCATGCTTGCCAATCGACGTGGTAGATAAAATTGTTTACCAGGGAAGCTGTATAGGTTCCGGTGGATTAGCTGGAGATGAGAATATTTTTCGAATCGGAAAGGCCAGAGCAGCTTTTGCCAACCTCCGACACCTATGGAGCCGATATGAAGTAAATTTGTCTGTCAAGGGGAGAGCTTACATTGAGGTAGTGCGACCCATACTGCTTTGTGGATCAGAGAAGTGGCCTCTACGCGCATAGGACATACGGGAGATATCAGTGTTTGATCATCACGCTTCATAAGCTGTGCTGGTTGGGATATGTACTCCGTACACCAGGAAACCGTCTGCCTCACAGAGCTCTTTTTTCCGGCCCTATGCTGCGTGGAAGCGACCGAGAGGTGGACAGTGTATGACCTGGCAAAGTACGAAAACACTAACCAGTAAACTTAGTCGGGTGGGAAACTGCCGCCTCCCTAGATGGGACGCCGGGACTCAAGTCACCAGCGGTCTAACGGCAAACACCAGCACAGCCGAGTTTGCTGGTAATGGCTTTTATACTTTCGATGCCAGTCATTGTTTCCCCGCCTCTGGCTCTCTTCCATCCTTTATCTGGTTGTGTTAAAAGAGCCCTTCGAGAAAGTCGGTAGACTGGCATACGCAACACGTGGCCAAGCCAGTGCAACCGATGCAGTGTGATCAGTTCATCTAGCGAGGGTAGGTTATTCCTCCTGAATACCATTTGACGTACTTCAGCATTGCTGTTCGGGCAGATTCGGGCAATGCTCCGAAGACATCGATGGTCAAACGCTGGAAGTCTTTTGACGTCCTCGGTGCGCAGCGGCTTCTGATCCATATAGTAATATGCAGTGCGCATTGTAAACTCGATCCTTGACAGAGAAGCTGATGTCACGCCTACGCCACAAGTGAGACAGGTTCACAAAAGCTGAGTTGTCCTTCCCGAATCTGCCAGCCTCTCACTTGCTAGGCGATTTCTTCGCTCCTCACGCGGGCCTGGAAAACGAAGGGAGAAACAACTCCGAACGAGTGCATGGTCGAAATTCACAATGGTGTTCCAAAACGACCGGCAGTCACTGATCCGCGGTGCCAAAATCTGGCACCTAAAGCGCCAATATGACAGGAAGGAATATACAATGGGTATATTCAACCTATCAGCTATAAGCCGTGTGCCATTAACATAACGACTCCAGCTGCTACAGTTTCGATCACCGGAAAATGGGACCGATTGCACACCACTGTTCACATCTATTTTCATTAGAGAGAACCTGTTCCCTCGTGTCCGTAGTAGTCTTTAACGTTAGGATTTTGGGACATGTTGAACAACGAGCTTCTATTGTGAGTATTTCTAGTATCTTGTGGACAAAGTTTTGCTGCATCGCTAAAACAAGATGCGCTTGCTGCGTCGTTGTTTAGACTCTGTCAACTGCAAAATTCGGGCAATCGGCTGCCGCAGGCGGTCGCACCGCTCTTGTTCTCGCTCTCAGTTCCCGAGCTGTGACCTCCTTTTTGGTTGGATACCTGTCTCCTATGTAGCCATCGTCTTCACATTTCCATAGGGGTCGCATCAGTCGAAACTAAACACCACTTGTGTATTCTTTTCGCACATGCATCAACCACCATCAGCATTGCCTTTGTGGCTCTTTTTATCGAAAAATGACCGTCCTGTCAATCGGAAGGAGTAAAAATATAGTCCTAACCGCGGAAAATTTCAATACGCATGTAGGTAGCTTCGGCTCATACAAGACGCGATTAAGTGACAAATTTAAACCCAAAGTGTAACTATCATGATGAACATGTCAACGTGGAGATAAATTGGTGGCTCGTGTGCCTTTGCTGGTGGTGCATCAGGCAGTCGTTGATCCGTTCGCCACGTCCATTTACTACGTCGTAGTCCCATTCTGGCCAACCCAGAGATGTTGACAGTTGGCCTCACTAATTGACAATTAGAGCTGGTCAGACAATCCATTACTTGTCAACGAACTGCTGTAGGTCCCGTTAACAGCCTTTGTTTCTAACCATTCTCCATCACTGTCGATCGTCAGTGAAAAATAGGAAAATCGCTTTTAGCACGTTAGGGTGGCCTATTTATGTCTATGCTGAACGGCACCGGCCCCATTACGACTCACCGCAGTACACCACCACTTACTTTGAGGATTCCGAATAGCACCTCAATCACTGACCCTAAAGTGAAAACCCTGAGGAAATTCCTTAATCCAATTCACAATGTAAATCTAAAATTAGTAGTCACGAGGATGAAGCAGAGTAGTGCAATCGAAGCCTCAATGAGGTCCATGTACATAACATTCACCTGAGACCCTCATCAACCCTTCCGATCCATTCTTCCCTAACTAGCAGCTATTTGATGGTATAAGATCTGCTGTTGGTGAACCAAATCTGCAGCGGCGACATTCAAAGTTGATTAAGCTTGACGAAGGAAGTTTGTGAATGTATTAACAATGACCTAGTTCACTCGCAACATTGTACAGGGGCCGGAATCACATCACTTAGTGAATGAATGCGCAAGTGAACTGCCAAACCTCATGTGAAGCCAACTGAACACTTGATCTGCAGTGATCCTGGGAAGGGCGTTCAGCTGTAGCACCCTTCCGGTGCCTAGCTGCCATGCCACCAGAAGTAAGCACTAGGGCTGGGATACTGCCAGGTTGCCCAAGCCTAGACAGCAGTGATCCTGGAGACAAATCAGAGCCGATTATCAATGTCCATTGCCCCATGGACTTTGATAGATGGACGCCCCTAACCACACGCTACCTGAAGCATTACCCCAAGCTTTATCCCGTGGGGTTGGATGGGATCGACCAGCTGAATTTACTGGAAAAGCATATTAGTGCCCCCCGGCAACCCGCCGTGCACAGCACCCGAGGGTGAACCTATAAAAATTCACGTTGCGCAGCCCTCGGTTAATCATCTTCTGATACGCTATGCATTCGCAATCGCCAAGAGACTAAACGGCGGAGAAAAACGAGGGCTATAGTGCGCCTCCTTCCCAGTGTTATATCAGATTCTGGGTCGAAAAGCTCAGTACCGTACGCAGTCTTGTCCACTGTTGACCAGGAACTAGCCCGATTACAGAAGTTTGGTGTTCTCCAACCGACTAGGAACTCGACGTCGGTTACGCCAATCTTGATATTCAAGAACACGATTGATAATTATCACCCTGCTGCGCTTGATACACAGCAGCAGTATCTGCCACTGTCACGGATTCACGGATTGATACACAGGATCGAGGCTTTTGCCCGAGTTTCCCGGGTAGGTTTTGTTCTTGTCGGTCAGTGACTGTCGTTCACCTGAAAGGCACAAGCGAAAAAAGGGTGTAGCACTGCTCTTTATGTTCTCAGCGCGGGGCAGTATGCT